ACTCGTAATATAGGTTGTCCTGTTCATTATTGAGTCAAATACTACTCGCAGGCTATGCAGTTTCAGTTGAGACAGAGAAAACCAGACTGTGTGATAATATTATGATACAGGAATTTGATGATTTCCCCAGCGTTGATGAAGCTGTCTTGAGTATTTTGTTGATGATAATACTGAGCATACTGACAAAAGTAAACCAGTGTAAATTTTTAAAATTAAATTGATAAAAGTGTATAGTTGTAATACTCTTGAAGCATAATAGTTATGTAAATCAACATGTCATTGAAAATGACACAGTCCCCGTTAAACTGTGCTCAAAGAGTTAATTAAAAAAAAATATTTGAGTTTCATTTCTCAATTCGAAGCTAATTCTGCACAACAATACTTGATGGATGTTCATAGTAAATTTACTTTGCGATTTAATCTGATATTTTAAGAGGCATGACTTGCAAATTTGGCACATGCTCGCATGAAATGCATCTGCACACGGTCATCTAACACAGTTAGCAATACAAGTCATTGAAAATGACACAGTCCCGTTAAATATTTAAAAGTTCTCTTTGTGCTCATTATATTAAAGCGGAGAGGTTGTCGTTAGCGTGTCCTTGAAACTTGAGTTCCGAATGGCGTATACAACAGATTGTTTATTTACATCAAAACACGTGTAATAGTAATATGGCCAAAAATAAAAACAGCCGTTATTCGGCCATCTTTGATTTGATTATGAAATACACTGATATGTATGATGTATGTGCCAAATTTGAATGAAAACTGACAGAGCACGTCCAAGATACCGCATCAAAAAAAAAAAACATGCCTGCCAGTTGACCATCTTTGATCCAATTGCGAAAGAAATCGTCATGGACATGTATCCTAACATGTATGATCTATGTACCAAGTTTGAATGACAACTGACAAAGCATGTCCAAAAAACAACATTTTCAAAAAACAAGATGGCTGCCAGTCGGCCATTTTGAATCAAATCCCTAAACCACTGCATGTGCATATGTTCCACATAAGGTACTAGGCACATGCAAAGAATGAAATATGACTCTGGACAGACTGACGCACGAACGGACTTCGTCCGAACGGGGACTAATAATTTTCTGCATTGTGTAATTGAGTAGGTTTATCATCACTATTTCTGTTTTGAATAATATGCAAATGTATGTAAATTAGTAAGTGAATTTTTACCACCAGTGATTAAAATTTCACATACAAAGACTAACATGGGAAAAATTATTTACCTCTTTAGCAATAGCTCCATCTTCATGTTCTTCTGGTGGTCCAGCTAAGTTAAATACTTTACTTATGACCCCTAACTTTGCAAAATGTACAATAAATATATCATTTCCTTTCTTCATTAAATCATCAATTATTTGTAATGCAGTTAAATGTCCATCATCGTCGTCCTGTAAAAATAAATAAACAACTTATAAATCTACTCCTGATATGAGTTTTGTGTAGATAAAACAGCAGTGTTTGAAAATGAATGTTTCTTTTCAATACAAAGCAGATCAAGTTAAACAAATTACAACAAACTGGTCAGATTTGCCTGGTGATAAAGCCTTTGTTATTTTTCAGATTTGTAAAACATACCATCTTCATAATAAGATAGGAGTTGATATGATCTGCTCAGGGAAATACACTGACTAAGGTCTCAGCAAGGTGTCTTCATACATCGACGAATGCATAACAATAAATGCCACTATAGTTTTTCAGATCAGTGTTATACTCGTCTTTGCTAGTACACAAATCACAAACCAGTGGTGTTCTAATTTATATCAATTGGTGCAATACTTACATCATGATCTAAGACAATCGCCAAAACTTCTACCAAGACTGAGGTAAAGTTGTAACCACTTCCTTCTTCTTCACAAACTTCAACTAACAATGTAAGAGGAATGTAATGTACCATCTTACGAATCAAAGCTAATGTAGCTTTCCTGAAAGGTTAAAACAAGATTACATCATTAAGCAATATACATGAATTTGAATGTATCCTCGGGGGCGGAGCTACGTCACAGACGTTCTACGTTGCTAAGATGCGCACCACTGTACCACATATTTCTATGGGCTTTGTGCGCGCTGCTGTGGAACGCCGGTGGAGCCAGTGAAAACTTGAGAAAACAACACAAACTCAACTTTGAAGTAATCCTGAACAACCAAATTCATATATGTTACACACGTAGGGCTAATCTTGTTACACTGTTCAGGGGACTCTCAACAACCATTGCAAAGTATCGTTTTCTGCGAGTTTTTGGTCTTTGTTTTCACCGCGAGGGTTGCCAGGCGGTAGAAAATGTCCGGATGTCCGCCCCTGAGGATACTATTTAACAGTGTGTTTGCATTTCAGTATCAGATTTGAATTTGAGCATACATGAGAAATGAGAGTCTCACAGTAATTTACTACAAAAGATCATAACCACAATGCTTATAGAAATTCAGCACTACGTGTTATTGTGACAGGATCCATAACATATACTTTGGTACATACATTCTGTGAATATACAACTTGAATTCACTGGGTGAACACAGACATACCAGTCTCCAAAAACTGATTGATTGCAAGAATGTATATGTTAACACTGAATGAGAGTACCAATACACATGACATGAAAGCAACACTTGTATCAGGATTTGAACTTCGGAGTTGAGAAGGCATAAATAATGAATATTCCCCAAGGCGCATCAACAAACGTGTCTCAGATCTAGGCATTTTCATTCTATACATCTATGCAGTTCAAGAACTTTTATTTAGACTTTCAACAAGTACATACCTGACAGAAGGCAACATGGTGTTTTGATAGACCTGAGCAAATATAGGCAACAACTTTCTCAAATAAACTGGTGCCATTTCAGGATCTTTAGGTTCACCATCTTCCGGTTCAATCTCTATTTTCTTTGCACCTTCTACCAGAGTGGCTGTTGGCCTTTCAGTGGATGTGGTTGAAACTGGCACCATCCATTCACCTGGTTTTCAAAAAAGAAAAATTACATTCACTACTACATTCACTATTCATTCACTACATATTCATACTGCATTGTGGTAAAATCTGCGTAACCACCAAAGAATGTCAAATGAACAGGTCACATATATCATGAGCATTAGTTTGAATAGTTTTGTCTTTTCATTCCTCAATTCTCATTACTTAAGGCAAGTAAGCTGAAGTATACATTGTTTTGTTTGTAAAAATATAGACAATGCAATACAATGCAGAAAATGGAATGGAAAAGAAGTTTAAAATGCAACTGACCAGGAGACTGTAGTATCTGTACAACTTCCCTATGACCTTCATCATTTCGTTCTCTTGCCTTTTCCAGAGGTGTTTTACCATCTTCATCTCTCAGATCAGGGTTAGCACCATGTCTCAACAAGGTCTAGGTGAAACATTGATTACAATTATTAGGATTATACAAACTACAAAAAGTAGATCATATTCAATGATGGTTGCCAACAAGATAATTATAGAATATTTCATAAATAAAACATACCTTGGCAACTTGAGGCCTACCAAAGCAGGCTGCATAGTGTAGTGAGGATGACCTTTGACCTCTATTCACATCAGCACCTCTCTCGCATAAAAATTCCACCTGAAATGTGAAATCATAATACAGAGATTTCAAAAAGGTGCCACACAGAAAGTACAAAATGTGTTTCTAAGCCTTATTAAACACTTTCTGAATTTACTATATGCATTCTAATTAACGGTGCTACCTCAGGACAAAGGCAATAGAAAAAAAGCTGGTCAATCCTTTCCGAGCAATAAACTATGTAAACCAGACTAAATCATTCATTGAAAGAAGATCCTAATTTGTACTCACCATTTCCTGAGTTCCAAACGCTGAGGCCCAATTAAGTAATGTCTGACCCACATCATCCATGTAATTCACTTCAAAAGCTATACAACACAACAAAATTAATTTAGGATTGACAAGTTTACATAGTAGAAAAATACATACACCTGCTAAGTATATACACAAGTTATACCGTAGTATGACTACAATGAGTTTGATGAGTTTAATGTCAAATATAGGAAAAAAAGTATATTCGCTGGATTTTATTTTCACTGAATCATCCTTTCACCGAAAATACCGAAAATAAATTCCAAGCGAAAAATAAAGTATTCTAGAGTATTTTGTCCTGTATAACAGTAGTAGTATAGTATTTATAACATAATAAGGTAAATATAAACTTACTTCCTGTGTCTACAGCATCTATTAATGCATCAGTATCTTTACTACGGATACAATCTATCAATTGTCGGTGAGATCTCTCTCCTGAGCTGTCAAGACGTCGCAAACCTGGTAGACTCCGGTTACCAGAGCCAACACTAGATTTGGGCAGGGCTTTTCGGCCCTCAAATAAAAGCACCAATAATAGATCTACTAGACGCATGGTATCTAGCACACATCTACAAAAGCAAAAGACAAAAAAAAATTTTGCATTTGTTGAAAAATTTTAAAGACACTATGGCATTTTGTTTGTTCTGTTTCGACATTTAATTTTACATATAACATGGGATTTCACATTCAAATGAAAATGGTCTATTAGCCTTGAAGCTATGTACTTTCCAAGAAATCCCTCTTACATACTAAGTAAAGATGGTCAATAAATGCAATCATGGTCAGATATGCAAATTTGGTGGAATTGTTTAAAATGTTGACAACAAAAGCAGTGTCAATGATCTGGAGGTTTAGGGATGCAAATTAGCGGTTAAAGTGTGACTCTGCAATCCTCAAGATTGAGCAAGTGCATCATGGGAAATTTAAGTTGAATGGCCTGTCCATCATTTACTGTGTATACAAACATTACTGGTTAAGTTAATCATCTGTGCTAACATTGTACCAGACCATTGTCTGCCATGAAAGGATGCACTGTCACTAACTGGTTTGAATAAACAAGCAAATGAGTAATTGCATGGCTGTTTAACAAGAGTTGTGCTTCAATCTTGCCAAACTAATATACAACAGAAAATTATGATTGTATATACAACAACAAAATAGAAGTAGTCTACGCATTTTGATTATCAAAACCAGCACTCTGACATCACAATGCAATTTGCATATTGGTTGTCATCTTTTTTTCATATACCGGAACTGTAGTTAAAGCAATCCTATAACAAGTATTTGAAAATATATTTAGATGCACTTTGAAGATCAAGCCTATACTGGACACAGTTACATGCATCGTACTGTAATAATGACATCCAAAATTTGACGTCACTAGCAAGAACTAAATTTTATAAAATCCTGCCTAAAAAGTCACCCAGACTCACAGTTTTCATTTTTTAAGTTTTTAGACTGAATGGAAATCAGAATGTCATCTTGATAAAAATGGATGGCTGCAAAGGTTGACTTCGGCACTCAAAAAGATAAAATCTTATATCAGTGAAATCCCATGGTTAAACACATATACATGTACTAACCTTTCATCTCCTTGTAAAGCCTTCTCTATTGCTTCTGGTAAGTCAGATCTAAGTAAATTCTGAAACAAAAATTAAGAAAGCATTAAAAACCAAGAGACGATGCTCTAAAAAGAAATAGATTTCCTGACATGCCCATGAATGAGGTTTTGAGTAGACTTAAGAATTTAAATTTAAATTATTATACCACACAAAAATAATTCCATCCAAATCTTGATTAAAATGTTATACTGGTAGATAATACAATACAACAAAAATAAAAATTTACTCATTTCCTGACCTACATTATCATCATGGCCAAGGTAATGAACCTTGTTGTGATTTTGTGAAATCTGTTAATCAAGTCATTCACATTAGAAGATAAAAAGTGAAAGTTTAATTCACAACAAATATACTTTTATTAATAATAATTCAGAGTTTGTAGACAAATATTTTATTGCAACAGACTGTTTTATGGCATATACTATTCTTGTACGAGAGAAACACAGTACACTAAATAATGAATAGACAGGACTGAAAGGCTCTTGATTCACTTACATGTGTAACTCCCGGGGAACCTCTACACATTGTAGATAACAAACTAATAATAGTAGACACATTGGGGTTGCTTTTTGACTCTGGCGTAGCACTAGCTAAAGCCCCTGGAGTTCCAGTTTTAGCTGAACCACCCGCAGGTACGGCACAGCTAGAGAGACGTGACAGTAGCTCATTCATCAACCCGTGCTTAGCCAGTGGAGCAGGATCCACACCTCGTCGAGTGAAGCGGTCAGCTAATGATGCAAAACATCTCAATGCTCCATCAGCAACCTGAAGGACGAAAGTGACAGATATGTATAAGGATGGATTTATTTTTTTAGTATAAAATGAGGCCTGCATTGATCATAAAAGGTGTCCATGTTGCACAGCATACATATGAAATTGAACTGCTATGGATTACAATGATCAGATACAAGCCGCCAGACACTGTAAAATTCATTACACAGTCAACTATTACTTGAAATAAGTTTATAATACTTTTAACACTAACCCTAAAATCCCACTTAAGATGGCACAGTGAATAACAGGATTTAAGTTTCATACTAAATCTATTTCTAATTCCAATTGCATCTGCTTTTGAGCATCCAGGGAATTTGCTGGAGTAGCGATTCAAAAATAGTAATACATGTATAGAGATGCTTGAGAGAAATAGCAAGAACCTTTATATGCATATAGCATTTCTAAAATTAGCTTTCACTGATATAATTATACAAAGGTCAATTGATGACGTGCCTTAGCTCCGCTTCAAATCTAGCACATCTTTTAGTGTACACGTTTCTACTTGACCGAATTTTTATTTTGTATGTCATTGCACGAATCAGTTTATATACGATGATAATTGTGACCCCGAGAACTATTAACTTACAGTATGATCTTCATGTCTCAGTAATTGGGATAATGATTCTACACAGGTTTCTAATGAGGTATCACTGGGTTCCATCTTGCCACATAGCCTAGAAACCACAGACATAGCTGAATGCAGCGTATCCTTGTGTATAAGATTGCCATTGTCTCTTATAAACATCAATACACAGTTAAGACCACCAGATTCAAATACGGCACCAGACTCTCTAGTGCACATCAGTTCCAGAACCTGGTGAAAGAGTATGAAAATCAGTATGATTTATTAAAGCATTTGTACAAAAAAAAAAAAAAAAATTAACGACAAAGTTAAAGCAGAAATAATGCAATCATTTAAAATCTATATTTATTACAAGTGTAATCTTTTCATCCAATATTCATAATTGTTATCAGCTTTAAAATTAAATTACGCTGTATATCGAGTATATATGCAAAGATTAAAAATAAGTCAGAGGATTCTGTATTGCATTATTTAACAAGAGCAGAAACCTCATTTAGTTAATTTATGTACCGGTAATACAAGATGCAAAATAGAAATGTGATAACTATGTCCTGTAAACGTAACTCCTTATTATACATGTACTTGTCTAAGAGGTTTTGCAAAGATTTCATCAGCTAAAGTAGAATTTTAGATATTATCATATCAAATCAAATGACCTCGGTCATATGAGGGCATTGAAAGTTTAATTTCAGGAAGCCGTACATAATATTGTGCTAATGAAATAGAAAGATGTGTCTGTTAAAAATAAGTATTTAATAAACGATTTTGTTGCTATTTAATGCTTGATTACAGAATGCTAATTAAAATTGTAATTTGGTAACAGCTGGATGCACACTCCTTGTCCTTGAGTGTCCTTGCAGTTTTAATACACAATAAGTTTGGTTATCAACAATGAGAAACAGTCATCAACTTCAGGAAATAAAATAAATAGGCCGACCATTATTACCAGACATTGCAAGTAAGACAGATTGAGAGAATTAATATGTATCTATCTATAATCTAAATGTGGTTGAAGCATAAGAGGCCTTTGAAGGGAATCTATAAAGCATACCTTTATACATTGTTCTGCTAAATCTTTACTTGTTCTCGATGATAATTCAGCTACTACAAGTCGGTTGCATATTGCTTTAACAGCGCCGTCAACAGCTACTACACGTCTGGTACACTCAGCAGATACATCCAGATAATAGGTGATGGCCCTTGCTGTTACTTCCAGTACATTATCCGGAGCACAGTCATCCAGAAATATCTTGCACAATGCTGGGAGGAAAGTTCTAGGAGGGCAACTGGAGATGAACAAAAGTACTTTTTGTTTAATATTTATTTTGAAATGAAAGGATTTTGCATAATAAATTTCTTAAAAGACTTCAGTACAAACAAAATTGTTATTTTATGACTTCTGATTGATCTAAAAACATATACTCAGTACTATATGTGCTCATATAGTGGAGAAATACTATAGTTGAAACATTGACTGCCACAATACACATTTAGAGGGTCTATGATATAAGGTAAGAGATATGGTGATAACCGATATATCTGCTCCGAGATATTTATATAACATACATTTTTACATTATTTCGGTGAGAAAATACTACAATGTGGATAAGGGATATCTATGACCGTGTCTAAGTT